GCATGTGTTAACCACAAAACAATGGTGAATTATGTCCTTAAAAGTACAATACAATATGTTTCTACTGTACAGTATTAATCTGAACATTCTCTTTTTATTGTTTTTTTATTATTATACTTTTATTATTCCTGGCACTTACTGGCACCTGTCTCTTTCACTGTTTTTTTTATTTGTTTTTTTAGGGCATGTGTAATACATTTCCATTATAATAATGTATTATATGTCTAATATAATTAGCGTATTGTTTGTTGTCTTGTTGTAGGAGCTATTGGCATTGAGATTTACATTGACAATACTGTGCTGTAACTAGGGTTGGGTATCGTTTGAATTTCCACGATTCTGATTCTACTTTTCGATTCCGGTTCTTAACGGTTCTCAATTCCGATTCTTTGAGGGGCAGGGTAAAAAAATGATACATGCTTCTTCCACCAAAAAAATTACATTTATTCGAGAAACTTTTACACAGGTTAGTTTACAGTAATGTTCACATTAGTCAGTCTGTTTATATTCACTGCTAACTGTAACCTGAGAACCACTGAAGCTACAACAGTGCAACTGTCCAACTTTTAAAGAACAGTTCTTGTTGAGAAAAACAAGCATATCTGCCTTCTCAGGCATACCGAGAAGAAATGTTTGAACATTTTAAAGTAAAATGCTTCAATCTGGTGCACTTTATGCAGAGTATAAGTATGTGAACATAACCAGTAACCTAACATAGCCAATAACAAATACATGTAACGTGTTTTATTTTTGTTGTTCATTCATATCTTATTTTACTATTTTATTTATGCATATTTTGTTATCTCTCCAGTTTAAAATGATATGTCTGGTTTACTGTCCTATAGTATACATTGGAATTATTTCAAACCTGTTTTATCCCAATAATTATAAAGGAGTGCCTTGGAAATATGTGTTTACATAAATTGTGATCAAAGCGTTTGAGACCCACTGAGATAACTTAGACTAAAGTGAACTATCTAAACACTCAGAGTCCTTTACCTCACTGAGCTGTAGTTATCAGCCTCAGTCTGACTGGAGAGGACTCTCCCTCCACATTATTGTAGAAACATCTTCTTCTTCCGTTAGAGCAGCTTGCACCAGATGCTAATAACAACAGCGCGTACCGGTGCACCCTCCCTCTCTCCCTTTCTCCCTCGCTCGCTCGCATTTTGGCTGTGAGCTGCGGGTGCCAGATAAGCCAACATCCCCCATTTTCATCACTTACAGCGCCCATCCTACAGGGCAAATGAAAAGTGTAACCGGGATGAAAAGGGTGTTACATTTACTTAATTATGAATGTTGTTACATCAAGGCTGAAAATTAGGATGAGCACCAACGGTCAAAACATTTGTTTTCCCTCCCAGAGCTGTCAGCCCTAGCGCCTCCACAGATCTGACGCCTAGGCGAAAATGGTTACGATGTAGGAAGTGTAGGTACAACGCTACATTTCCCGCCCCGCCGCAGTCATACAGTAGGCTACGGAGAGCGGCGAGAAACATTTCCTCAGGCATCGAAAAGCGGAACCGAAATTCACATTTCTAAATGATGCCGTTGGAACCGGTTCTCGGTACCCAACCCTAGCTGTAACTAGGGCTGCTCAATTAATCGTATTTTAATTGCAATTACGATTTTGGCTTGCAACGATTATGAAAACAACATAATCGAAATAAAACGATTGATTTTTTTTATTATTATTTGTATTGGTTTTTCAGTTGAATTATACTTAGAGTTCAGAGTAATCAACTGTTAAAAACATACTGTTCACATCTTTTTTTTTTCAATAAATGGATGTTTTCAAAGTAAATGGATAATCGGTTTAAATAATCAATTATTGACCCAAATAATCGAGATTATGATTTTTGCCATAATCGAGCAGCCCTAGCTGTACCTATTGTGCATATGATAATAAATAATTTGAATTTTTATTTCAGGTTTCCCCATCATGCAGGTTTCTGAGCTGCATCCACCGCACCAATTTCAACGCAAGTTTTGATACCAGCCTGACTAACGGTTCCACCTACAACGAAGAAGCAGAAGACATGGAGTTTCGATTGAGAAGTGGAGAGGTAGTCGATGAGAGCACCCACCCTATGGTCCCTCACATGAGGAGCGAGGAGGCCCGGCTTCGGACCTACTCTGCCTGGCCCTCTACTGCTCCAGTGAGACCCCAAGACCTGGCCCAAGCCGGCCTCTATTACCTAGGGGAAGCCGACCACGTGCAGTGTTTCTGCTGCAACAACATGCTGGGGGGCTGGGACGCGGGAGACACCGCCTGGGGAGAACACGCCAAACATTTCCCCAATTGCTCGTTCATCCTCGGCAATGATGTTGGCAACGTCCCATTAGCGGGGGGGACGGTGGAGGAGGAGTGTGGGAGTAGACAACAGGCAAACGTTCGAGCCCAGATGGGGAGTTATGAAGAGAGGCTTGCTAGCTTCGCGGCTGTCCAGCACCCTATTGACCCCGAGAGGCTGGCCAGAGCTGGCTTCTACAGCACAGGTAGAGCAGTGATGAAGACTTTTCTCTGAGCATTATGCTTTGTTTTGTTTTATAAATGTATCATTTAATTTGTACTGAATGAGTAAGGGTTTGAATACCCTACTTTCAATATTTCAACATGTTATACAATTTGTATTTATTCAAAAAACTCTTCAATTATATATACTATAAACTAGAGGTGAGAATCACCAGGCTCCCCACGATACGATATTATCGCAACACTTAAGCCACGATACAATAGTATTGCGATTCTACGATATGCTAAATATTGCGATACAATTTAAACATATTACGATACGATTTAAACGCGACCGGCGCATTTCTGATTTCTTTCTCTGCCGACTCCATCTTTGTTTTGACTTACCTCCTGCCAATCCCACTGACTTTACCCATGGCTCAGCATCATTCTAGTAGTGGATTGAAAAAGCAATTGTTCCCAAAAACTTTGATTTGGATTTCCAATATGAATAGTTTATATTAATAGAATATCGATACTTGCCGTCCATGTATCGTTACAATATCGCCACGCAAAGTATCGCGATACTATGCGGTATCGATTATTTCCCCCACCCCTACTATAAACTAATAATTCATCCCCACTGACACAATCATATCAATGCTTGCCAAACACACAAGAAACCTGAGGCCTTTACTGAGAAGACAGTTCAGCATACCCTGGATTTCTTTGTGTTATCTGGCTTAACTTACTCTAACAATCGCTATCCCGTTAAGCGGTCCTATGACACTGGTTATGAGCTAAGTAAGTCAACCCAGGGTTTCTCAGTTCGGCTACAAGCGCACATTCTGTGATTTATTGCGGGCTGTCTTTCTTGCATTTAGTAGTTTAAACCTTGAACAGTGTTTGTTTGGGATTGGAAAACGACTTCATAGCTTTAAACTTCACACACAGAGCTCTGATTGGTCAGTATACCATGCTTTTACTCGAGTAGATCTCTTATCTCAAACATAACCTGCTCCAATGCAGGTTAGGTGTTCAGCATTAGTTACCATGAAAGTCTACCCCGGTAAAAATGTAACCAGCGTCGTAGTTTACCCTGAATTTACCTCGCTAACCCCAAATCCTGCCTCGTAGTACAGCCCACTGCCCAGCCCCCCATCCCTTATCACACACATGTACCCACAGACCCATGACGGAGAAGTAAAAAAAAATAATCTGATGTTCAATGATTGTTTGGGGTATAATTGCACAAAAGATTTAATTGTTTGTGTCCTTGCAGGTGCAAGAGACATGGTCCTGTGTTTCCGCTGTGATGGAGGTTTGAAAGGATGGCAACCTGAGGAAGACCCTTGGGAAGAACATGCGAAACACTACCCTGGGTAACCAACCATGATGGTCCCTCTTCTAATTCCTAAAATGTATAGTAGATTTAGTTCTAACACAACTTTTTCTGATTTTTTTTAAACAGATGCAGCTTCCTGTTAGCAGAAAAAGGACAAGAGTTTGTTAACAACATCCAGCTTCAAGACCCTCGACGAAATCGAGCTGTAAGCATTCATTGCATTTACTTTTCCTCAAGTTATATCTCTCACAGGCTCCGCCCTCTACTGGACTCTATGGGTACTTCCCCTTGATCCTATCATGCAAGCATTCATCCACTGAGACTTTCTCGACATAGCCGGCCCAGGGGCGGGGCTACCTGAATGCTTGCGCATCCCTTTCTCTTCAGCAAGGCAGTGAGACGCAACTGAGTGAAGAGAGACGGATAAAAATCAAATACGAAGAAAATGGACTCACCATTGGTGGATCAGCGCCCCTGTCCTTCGTGTCCGGGCACCATAGAAGGCGCCGACCCCCACCGTCAGTGCATTGAGTGCCTGGGGTCCGACCACACGGTGGCCAACCGTTTGAGGACTGCTACATCTCGCCGGTGGAGCACCCAGAGCTCGACGTGGTGGAGATGGAGGACCTCGAGGAAGGAGTGCCCTTCGTGTTCGCCATACCAGCGGACTGGGCGGGTCCGCTCGCCGGGGAGAGGGACGACGATTGCGACTAGTGCTGTAGCGACGCGTTGATGACGTCGACGCGTCGACTTCAAAATATCGTCGACGACATATTTCCGCGTCGACGCGTCGCTACACACACGTGGGTCACCCAAAGCAACAAGCAGTTCGCAATCGCACTTCAAACACAATGGAGACTGAAACGGCTACCACCTCCTCCTCACAGGATTGCGCACGAAGCCCCCAAACGAAAACATCTCGCCCTAGGTCTTCAAAAGCATGGGAATATTTTAAAGTTAGTCCAAAACGCAAAGATATTTATATCTCACTGAGACTGCTGCATAGCCTAGCAGAAGCAGCAGCTAGCTGTGGTGGCTACCATTAGCAGCTAGCATTTGCTCTCCGATTTTTACATAAAATGGAATTATGGATTATAAATTCAATCATTTTTTTATACATAGACGTTAAAAACCTATGGATTAACCGATTCAGCCGCGTTTTTTCTCATTTTAATGCCATTGAACACGTCTTTTGATCAGATTACGGTGGTGAGACGATCTCCCGAGAAGCTCTGTGAAGGTACGTGTTGTGATGACTGTATTTGCTTCCCCTGTCGCGAGTCCGGATCACTCAGTGATGATACTATATACCTACATAATCTGTGGAGTCTCAGCTTTAATCGGATATATTGTATGTGCAGCTACGATAAGTAATAAGGGTACTTTTATCTTGAGTTCTGTGCCAATGTCCGTTAGCATTTTTCGCTCAGGGGTCATTTAGATGCTTCTTATGAGACTTGTGTTTTGTTTTGGTAAACATGGTTTGTGTCGTCAGTTAGCTGAGATTATTTCCGTTAATCTGGTATAACACATTAATAGGTTCTTAAATATTAAGATCCCCTGAGACACAGTATCGTGAATTTTTTTTTTTTACATTACGTTTTTTATAAATTGAACAACAGAAAAATAATCGTTAGATTAGTCGACTAATCGATCAAATAATCGCCCGATTAATCGTTTTCAAAATAATCGTTTCCCCCCAGCACTAATTGCGACACCTCGTCGTCTGAGGTTTCCGTCGACCGTCAGGAAGGCCAGCTGCACAGGTCTGCGCGACAGGACTTCCCGGCGGTGATGACTAGCGGCGTGCAGGCTTGCCGCTGCCACCGAGGCCAGTGAGCTGCCTACGTCAGGGCTTCTATGGACCGGCTACCGCAGCCGGTCGTGTGATGTCCCTGACCACCGTCGCGTCACGTGTGGCTAGGTCTGGCCAAGAAAGACCGAGACGATCGATATCCGCATGCTGCCGCTGGCTCGCCCTCAGGCCTCTCCGCAAGAGAGAGAGCGCCCAGCGGTGTTAAGGCGGAGAGATAGGCGTCGGTACAGAGCTCCTGGCGCGCCCTCTGCCTCTGCGGTCCGTAACGGCCCAGTACCGGCCCTCACGGGGTCAGACAGACCGAACCCGGCGGGCCCCTGCTCCGGCTCCAACGCAGCGAAGGGGTACTGGGTGGGGGGCTCGTCCCGGTGGAGAGAGGGGATTCCTCCGGCAAGGATGCAAGGGCAAATCCCGCCTCCTCCCTGTTTGACCCCACGGTAACAAGGTCGTCTTTTTCAAATGAAAATAAAAGAGATAACTTGTATTCCAGTCAGAGTGTCTTTTCTTTCCACACAGCCACGTAATGTTGACCCTACAGATTCCCCACTCGCTGCCCAGGTTGTTACTCCAGTAAAGGAGGCAGCTAGTGCGCGGGTGAGAGTGATAAACCGCGCTATGCGGGTACAGGGACATTATTGCCGGCGTAGCACATTTAACGCAGAGTGTAAAAACTCAGTTTGATGCATTTCACTGTTTGGGTGAAAGCATCATGGCGGGGCGCGTGCTCCCACGCGTTCAAGGCCCTCAGTAGAGAGTCGGCCCTTTTTGTGTCGACCCCCCATGGGCAGAGCTTCCCTTCGCGGGGAGTTTTGCGGCGAGACGGGTCGCCAGAGAGTACCACAGCTTTATCGCTGGGGCCCCACAACTGATTGCACATCCCCTAACACAGTGTTATGGGGAATGGAAGCGCAGCTGCTTGTTAACGGAGTGGATGGACAGGACGCTGAGACTGGGTTATTCACTCCAGTTTTGCAGCATCCCTCCTCAGTTCACAGGCATAAGAGAGGCAAAGCTATCATCCCGAGAGAGCTCAGCAGAGGTTCAGGCCTTGGTGCAAAAACAGGCAGTATCTGCCCTAACCCGCAAGACAGAGAGGTGGGGCATTATTATACTTCCTGGTTCCCAAAAAGACAGGCGAATTCAGGCCCATTCTGGATCTTCGCAGTCTGAATCTCTACATTGCACGTAGAAAATTCCGGATGTTAACTATAAAACAGTTACTGGGACTGGTGCAGCCAGGCGATTGGTTCACAACCATCGACCTGAAGGATGCTTGCTTTCATGTCGAGATTGCTCCGAAACACAGAAAGTATTTGCGTTTTTCCTTCATGGGGGTGGCCTTCGAGTACAACAGACTACCGTTCGGCTACTCCCTATCCCCACGCACGTTCAGTAAATGTGTGAGGGACAGGCTAAGACAGGGTGGATTGTCGGATAGTGTTGTTCAGTCTATCCAGGCTGCTAGAGCGGGATCCACCACAGCCTGTTACCGGCCGAAGTGGCTTGGATTCCAGCGATGGTGTGAGGAGCGGAAAATAGAGCCCCTATCTTGTGAATTGGGATCTATTTTGTCTTACTTACAGTTACTGGTGGACAGAGGGCTTGCTCATTCCACCGTGAAAGTGTATGCAGCAGCCATCTCGTCCTGCCATGAGGGATTTGGCGGCAGGTCAGCCTTTTCTCAGCCACTAATGTTACGTTTTTTACGGGGGGTCAGGAGGCTGCGCCCAGTAGTGCGCGCCTCCGCCCCGCAGTGGGACCTGCCGCTGGTGCTCGAGGCTCTGGTCACAGAACCATTTGATTCTCTGGAGCTCTCCTCCATAAAAGCACTGTTGTGGAAAACAGCTTTGCTACTTGCCTTGACGTCAGCCAAAAGAGTCTCCGAGTTAACCGCTCTATCGGTGCTCCCGAGTTGTTTAATGATCCGGGTGACACTCAGACCGAACCCCTCCTTTGTGCCCAATAGCCTAAGGAGTGCGTTCAGGTCGAGGGCTATTCAGTTGGGGGGCTTTAATCTTCCACCCCATAGTGGGGCGAGGGAGGCTAAATTACACCTCCTCTGCCCGGTGCGTGCGCTAGCGTGTTATGTGAAGCGCACGGCTGCCCTTAGACGCACTGAACAGCTGTTTGTGTGCTTCGGGTGCGGGGTGATCGGGAAAGCCCTGTCCAAGAAACGCCTGGCAGGCTGGCTCTGCGAGTGCATTGCACATGCCTACGGACAGGCGGGGAAAGCTTTCCCCACGGGGGTCCGTGTGCACTCTACACAAGCCATGGCTGTGTCAACAGCTTTATTCAACGGCGTGAGTGTGGAGGACATATGCACGCCAGGCCCCTTCATAAAGTTTTATCTCTTGGACATGTCTGGGTCCTTTTCATCGTCTGTGCTTGCTGGGACAACACAGGACTGGTGAGGAGGGACGGGGGCTGTGTTGGTCAGTGGGCATCTGACCCCCTCCGTGGGCGTAATGCGCTTACGTTTTCCCCCCGGGCCCCGGGGGACGTGACTCGCACATTGGCCCATAGGTGCTGGAGGACTCTTTTCCCCCTGCTTTAGGGCAGGTGGGGGGAGTCCTCCACGTCATAGCACACCTCCGCGGGGTAAGCGCGTCAGGGTGTGCTCGGTCAGCCGCAGCCTCATTTTTCTCCACGGTTACGACCGAGGGAGAGGTGAGTGAGGCGCAGCGGCTGCTAACCAGAAAGCCGGTCAGAAACAGTGAGATGGAACAGTGTTGTTGTGGGACGACAGCGCATATATACATCGGGGCCTGTGAGAGATATAACGAGGGGTTACGTATGGTAACCCTTGTTATGTAAACACAGGCGGAGCCCTCTACTCAGGGGCCCGGTCTGTCCTATGCTGCTTGCTGAAGAGAAGTGTAGGATGACAGTGAGGAGGCGAGGCCTCCTTTTATACAGTGAGATGCGCGCGCATTCAGGTAGACCCGCCGCGGGCCCGGCTACGTCTAGGAAGTCTCAGTGGATGAATGCTTACATGATAGGATCAAGAGGGAGTACCCATAGTGTCCAGTAGAGGGCTCCGCCTGTGTTTATATAACAAGGGTTACCATATGTAACCCCTCGTTATTGTTGACTTTCCCAACTAATCAGATTGTAAACCTTGTGTAAACATGACCCGGATTTCCTTAATCAGAGTTGAGTGAAACACACCCAAGTTTCCGGCCAATGATTTGCTTATTGGCCAGAAAATCTGACCATGTGTTTGGATGTAGCACATGCTTATGATAGATCCAGCTAAAGTAATGCTATGACAGCAGTGTGTTCGGAGGATGAACGGGTATATTATTATTACTCATAGTGGCACTGCTTTGTATTAAAAAAACTTAAATCCCAGATGGCTGAAATGGAAAAATATCTTTAAGCAGCCTTCAGCATACAACTTTGTCTGTATGTACTTTTGAAGCATCATCAATCTGAATTAGACAAATCAAGTGTTGTTGATATATTGTGGAATTAGTCTATAAGAATTAAATGATGACTTTGTTTTACTATTCTGCCTCAGGAAGGAATTATATACTTAAAGGTCACTTATTATGCAAAATCCACTCCATTAACCAATCACCAACCAAGGTAACCCCCCACCTTATCACTTGAATCTCCTCCTAGTGCACCATTGTGTTATTTTTAACCAAATATCTCTCAGAGGGGTGTGGGGAGTGGCTCCTTATTTTCATCTAAAGTAACATACAGAGAATCAGCACTTTTTGAAACAGGGCTGAAACAGAGGGGATTATGGGATGCTACAATGCATGATCTGTTTGGTATTTCGAGCCAAACACTTCAGAGACATGTTTTGTATATATCTGTTGATGAAAAACTATATAATAGGGGACCTTTTAAGAAAACCAGCAACTTCTTGACTTCAGTTTAGCTCTATAATGCATTGTTAAACAAGACAGATGTTGTCACCCATCTCTAATATTGGATTAGACCTGCTAATCGGACGTCTTTCCTGCCAATTTGGGCATGAGGAACAATTACAGAAACCAATAACTACATCCATGTGCATATGTGCTCGTAAATGTATAAAGTTATTTTGCAATTAAGGGAATTTAGATTTGTGTTGGACGAATTGACAAACATGTAATACTAAACATACTTAAATAATGATGCTTTAATGTTAATTGGTCTCCGGACAATTATAAGCAAATCAAATCTGTTGTTGCCTGTAGTGATGTCACTTGATGTGCTGCTTGCCTTAACCTGACCCTATCACCATGTTTGTTTCCAGACTTCAAGTCATCAGAATGGGTTTTCTGGTCATAGGAATGGTAAATATGAACATTTCCCCCTTTTCTAATTGAATAACTATAGAAAACTTCTCATGTACAGGACACGACTAATTAAATAAAGAGACTGATTGAAACAAGTTGTAATCTATATATATACTAATGTGTCCTCTTTGTTTTCAGAGGTGCTGCGGTCCGACATGGCTCAGAGGGCCATAGAGGCGGGTCTGGAGCCCAGTATGGTGGAAAAGACCATCCTGGAGAAAATCAGTGCGACTGGCTCAGGCTACTCCACCCTGGAAGCTCTAATGGACGATTGTTTCAACGACACAGCAATGAGTGATGCTGCCTCGTCACAGAGTCAAGGTACTGTACACTCTGAATGCTAAACCAGCTTCATATTATAATCAGAATCAGAATACATATTTTGTTGTTCCGGGAAAAATGTGGTTTTGTGATAGTTGCTCCATTTTTAAAAAAAAAGAAAAGATTAATAGCAATATAAAAATGTTTTGCAAACGTAAAATGTCAGGGTAGAAAAGTGCAATAATAAGATATAAAATAAAAAGAATAGAGGTATTTATACAAACATAGGGAGTTAAATGAAAATGTCCAATAAATGTAAATGTATTAATTTAAAAGTAAAATCAAAGTAAAAATGTGCACATTGTAATACAAGATGTAACATGTATCTCACACAGTATATTATACATTGGTGTATTAGCATTAATTAAATATGAATCCTGTTTATAAATGCTAATATTAAAATACTGATACTGACTACATGTAACAAAGCCTATGTAATAGTCATTTAATATTAATATAATTCCCCCCCCCCCCTTTCTTCCAGATGAGGACCCACTGGAGAAACTACGGAAGCTGCAGAGGGAAAAACAGTGCAAAATATGTATGGACAGAGATATCTGTATTGTCTTCATTCCATGTGGTCATCTGGCCACCTGTAAGCAGTGTTCAGAAACGCTCATCAAGTGTCCAATCTGCTGTGGGGCCATAACACAGAAGCTCAAGACCTACATCGCCTAAGGGAATCACAAACTCTTGCCAAATATTAATGCTGCTTTCGCACGATCTCTATATTGTATTTTAATAAATAATGTAGATGCCCTGTGACATATTTAAAGACCATGTTGTTTGTTTGAGTATGAGAATAAAATAATGAGTCTTCACAATCACTGAGATGTTAAATAGCTCTTAATACTGAGATGGTTTATTATAAATAGTTGATGTTGATTTTATAGATAATAGAAACTTGTAAATACACACTAAAGAATAATTATTAGCAATGCAACCTTCTTTATTGCCAGAGGTGCCTTTCTCTTGGTTGATGTACTCGTGTCTTTTTGTGTGTTTTCTTTTAGGACATTTTCCACAGGGTAATTGAACTAGTCATCTCATTGTGTTTGTTTTATACCCTTATGTGTCCCACTTGTCTATTTTGTCTGGCTCTTTACTGAAATATATAAATATCGATCCCTAACTGCCTGTTGCTTTTTAACTGACACAATCAACTCTAATTAGGGGCCGACAATTAATCAGTGAGTTGTATTAACCGTTCCATCGTGCAATCTGTTTGGTCATCAAGAGTGAATAAATCTGAATGTTTGGACTTGGAAATGTTTTTCTTGCTTTGAGTTGTCTTATTTCTACTAGTCACAGAGGACACCAATGCAACTTTACCCACATAAAGGTTTATATAACTTTTGAATACCAGTATCTTGAAATGTCCAGAAGGAGACGTTACATGTTTAATGAACTATAACCGTTTGTGACTTTTGCATAAAGCTCCTGAAGTTATTAATATTCAAAGAGAGCTCAAATAGTGTTCAGATGTTAATAGTTAAAATAATTGGGTTATGAGAGCAGGTTGCAGGCAATATCAAATTGGTTAATCTGAATATTTTACACAGGATGCAGATCGCCGCCGGAGCATTATATGGATTAGTTAATATCCCTGTGTCGCAAGAGGGATTTAAATTAGCTAATTTGACTGAGGTATTATATCAAATACTGAACTATGGTGGTAATAAACTCTTTTTTAGGTCAGTATTTTACCGAAATACTTTCTACTTCGTGACTACATTTGGTTCCTGTTTGCGTTTCCCCAGCAGCTTGTAAGAGATGACAAAGCACAGTCGTAGGATGTAGTGAGTCTCAGTGACCGCTAGATGTCAGCTCATCCTCGGTGTATCTAAAAGCGAGTCCCTCGGCCGCTAGGTGGTAGCTCTACACCAGGATATCCTTCTCCCAGGTCGTCGAAACAACAAACCGAACTACGGAGCAAGCGGGGTGAGAGAACGTCCGAAACCGCCTCTGACCGCGACTTTTAAACTCTTTTTACAGAATTTCAGTGGGATTCAGACGGAAGCTGTCCAACAATATTAAAAGTTAAGATTCTGCTGGGACTATATTGCACAACAAGGTAAGTTAGCTGTAAAATGGCGGAGAGCTATCTGGAAGTTAGTTGATTTGTATTTTGCTAGCCTTGTAGCTCTAGCTGAGCCCTGAGCGCGGACGCCTGCCTGAACCAAGTCGCTTCGCTAGCTCGCGGTACATGGCTGGTTGTTAGCAAGCTAACGAACTGGGTTTTCGGCACAGCGACGCAAAGTGTGTAGTTCGTACCCGAAATAAACGTTTTGTTGTTTCAGGCAACTTACTTGCACTTTATATATTTGTAAACAAAGTGTTTGTTGCTTATGCAATACGGTACTGGAACTCCCGAGGCAAGATGGAGGACGCAAGGACGTGATGTTTTTTTAGGTAACGTTAGCCGTAGCTGTTAGCATAGCTAACGAGTGGTAGTTAATATCAACTCCTAAATTGCAGTATATTTGTTGGCATGATTTGCTTTATCTTCGAATAAGCACTGAATACGAGTTGTGTGTAGAACTAAGGCTGGTTTTGTTCTCGCAAACATAGGTGACTAGCGTTATTGTGTACTAGCCAGCATTAGCATGCGCTAGTACAGTAGGGCTTGCGTTGTTTTGTTATTATGGACCAAGTACGATAGAGCTAGAAAACGCTGACGTTCTCGATAACCAACGAAAATGCACGGTTCATTCGTAGCCCTTTGTGTTCAGTAATTCACAGTTCGCTCATACGGACCAGTGCATGCTTATTTGATCAAATTTCAATTGGCTGACGCTGGGGGGAAAACGCCGAAATCCTCAGTTGCTCAGCTAGTGGCGCTAGCATTAGCAGAGCACCGGTGTCAATTTTTGACAGGCGCCGATGAAGAGCGCAGCCGTGTCGGCGTTGTTGGAGGGAACAGAGCCGGTGGTTAATGGCATAGTTGACTTGCAGGAGTCTACACTATTGTGTGTTTCAGTAAATCGAGGTATACTCGTCTAGTCTCGCTCCGCAGTAACAAGTTTATGAGATACACTGACCAATTTGGCGCCACTTTTTCAGTCTACACCCATATAATCCCGTCGTCTTGTCATGCATTATCCTCTCACTACCGATATGCACTGTAACCTAACAGGTTTTCAAATCCACAAATATAACAATGAACTTAGAACTCGCGAAGTCCCAACTACTTTATACATATTGATCATGTTGCATGTGTCTACGTTGACTGTGTTGTGAAGATTTCTCTGTCGATCATTGTATATTCATTAACAAAAAATGTTCGCGAATTCGTCATGTGGGCCACCACGTTTGGGATATTGTTAGTGATAATACCATGACGAACGTTACATCTTAATTACCACAGACCATTTATCGGAAGGCTTCTCACTACTCATACATTTTAGTATAATTTAGGAATACGAGTGACACTTGTATGTCATCATCACTGCGTGTTTTTTCGGATCATAAGATGAACCAATTGCACCCCGAGCGGGTATATCATGGGTGGAGTTAAAAGTCCTTTTCAGGAGTGAATAGTTTCCCCTGGGATAGTTGTATTGTCTTCTCCATTCTTACAGAGGCTTTTACACGTGTCCTAAATGTCTGTCGAATTCAAAATCCGATTTAAAAAAAGTTACATCTGCCCTCCCCTTTGATGTATTTGCCCCTCATTTACACATCACAAGCATGCAATAGTTTTTCTGTGGCCTGCAGTATCTTGTTGATGTTGATGCCGTCGTTTGATTGGTGGAGATATGTATGGGGCGGATAGGGCAGTGCCATATTTGGCCATTGAGGAAGACGCTCCAATATTCCTTGCGTGACGTTGGCTCTAAAGCAAGGGAGAGAGAAAGCAAGGGAACCAATGGCTACACAGCTTAGCATGACAGCAGCGTCAGTGTCCGCCCACTGTTACCATGTGAAACCGTTTTTCTCTCTGAATGTAATCAAAGAAACATTTGCTCAATACAGAGCATGTGATTTATTTGAACATACACATACACCTGCTTTTGTAGCATTTATTGTTTCTGCTGTGTCCAAACGAGGGTCTGCATATGTTGCTCACTCAATTTCTCTCTTTCATTTTCTAGGTCACATGCACCCTCTCCTGTCTTTTTATTTTCTGAGGATATAAAGCCAGTCATAAGTTGAAGTTATCCAGAAGATGTTACAGAAATGATAGCAGCACCAGAAATACCATCAGAGTTCACCTATACTCACCAGTAAGTTCTTGCTTCCACTTTCAATTTGCTCTGATTTAGGTTGAGGTTGAGGATGTGAATTTCAAATCTAATATTTGCTTGTGTCTCCCAGGGATACAGATACCCGATTCTCTTCAGACACAGACTTCTCTGAGGAACTCGATGGAAGGAGTGCGACCCCAGCCAAAGGAAAGGTATAGAAAGCACATCTGACTATATTAGTTGGAGATATTGTCGTTCTACTTTGTTATTAGTATCAATTATTGTGATTTTCTTTTGAAGATCTGCTTTGATTACAAGTAAATGTACAATAAGCTGCTTAAAGTGTTGGTAGTTAAACAGGTCATAATTCACTCTGTCTCTTTTATATTGCTGTGATTACATCTGTTATACAAATGTGTTACCAAACCTTTTCGCAGATTACATTGAGGCACAACATGATAACATTATCATTTACCTTCAACAAATACATTTGTTTGCTAAAAAGAGCTTAAACACAATATAGTATAAGTCAATGCAACCTCTGTAAGTTGAAGCTGTTACCTCCATTATTTAACCAAACAGAACTTTGCTATTAGCCAAAAAGATAAATAACATTCTCCTGGTTGCATCTCTTGTTTGTGCCCGACTGAGCAAGTGAGTTGCTACATTTGTTAGCCTAACACAGCATTTTACTTGGCAATCAACATTGTTTTGACCCAATATGTGACAAGTGTATATACAAAAAGAAATGTTTTCTCTATAATGATTCTCACACTTAATAACTAATTGTTGTCTTCTGTATTGTTCCAGGGTGGAAGGAAGGGGAAGAAAGCAGCAGGGGAGAAAGGCAAAGGCGGGAAGGGAGCGGGCCGGTTAAATGGCCACCACCAAGAGAATGGCATGGAGAACATGATGCTGTTTGAGGTGGTGCGGCTGGGCAGGAGTGCTATGCAGGTAGGAATGGCATTCTATTTGAGATCGCCACAATAAAACAAATGTGTTCCTCCATTCACACGAACTCATTCTAACTAATGGTCTCTTGCTGTACCCTTTATTTTTCCTGCAGTCTGTCGTTGATGATTGGATTGAGTCCTACAAAACTGACAGAGATGTTGCGCTACTAGATCTCATTAATTTCTTTATCCAGTGCTCGGGATGTAAAGGTACGTGTGTATCTATTTAGGTTATCCCCCTCGCATTGGTCCTTTTTAGATGCATTAAGAACCAGAACCACTCAGACGTATTTGTTACTCTCTTCTCTTTAAGTTGGTATTCTTGAACGTAAAGTAAAAACATTTTCTGTCTAACTCTTCTGTTTTAATTAGGTGTGGTCAGCGGAGAAATGTTTCGAAACATGCAGAACTCTGAGATCATCCGACGAATGACAGAAGAATTTGATGAGGTAACTACACTTTTTCCCGTTAAATCATTACAATATCTTACAGGTCATTTCAAGTTATATATTATATTAACCAAATAGGATTTGCTACATTTCTTACAGGACAGTTATAACTACACATTGTAGTCGTGTTTTTTTCTTTGCATTTACTGACGTCCTTCCCTCTGTGGCCTCTGTAGGACAGCGGTGACTACCCTCTAACCATAGCAGGACCCCAGTGGAAAAAGTTCAAGTCAAGCTTTTGTGAATTCATTGCGGTGCTCGTGCGCCAGTGTCAATACAGTATCATCTATGATGAGTACATGATGGACACAGTCATCTCCCTCCTCACCGGACTATCAGACTCCCAAGTCCGAGCCTTCAGACACACCTCAACACTGGCAGGTAGGAGGAGCGGAGTCTGTATTTCTGTGTGTGGTTGAGGTACCGCTGAATGGCAGTAATTGGCATGTTCTATACGTAAACAGAGTAGCTATGTGTCTGGGAAGCGGGGAGCGGCCAGTTGGGAGGGATCATGGAGCACTGTGTTCTTGGCTAATCAGAACAGCTTTTTTCTTTATATTTGTATTGGGTGATAGAGTCAATATAACAAATTAGAAAATGATGGCTGTTCAAATCATCCAAATGTTATAGACATTGCAATATGGACTTGTGTAATTAGGAAATAGTAGTACGTTTTTAAATTCTGAATAAAGTATTGTGTGCTGAAGAGAAGTTCCAGGGTATTCTACAGACTTAATACAACATCACAGCATGCTTGATCTAATATCATTTTTCAATGATAATGCTAATAGTGCCCCACTAATATAGCAAATTAAAATGCAATTGTCAAAATATTCACAATAAGTTATCTTTTCCCAAGTAATGCAGCCCTAGATAAATTCCCTAAACGCTTATTGAACATGGCTGTTTGAACTTGTCTTGCCTGATTAAACTCCCTTTGAGTTGCGTTCCTCCTGTGAGAGCAGAGTACCTGACACCTTTATCATGAGCAGTGCTTGTTTACAAATACCAGGCAGCGTAGGTGGATTTACTTGCTATAATACATTTCCAAAGGCCCGGATGATGCAAATAGTGTGCTCTACTATAACCAGAGGCATGCAGAACATGCTGCCAAAATGATTTATGCAACTCTATTATACATTCTTTAAACAATAGTTGTAATTGAGCATGTGTGGATGCGACCAGAAAACATTCAAGTGATGTTCTGTGTGGGGAAAATGTCTCTATTCTCATGGCGGTGTACAACTGTTGCATGCTTTTTTTGTTATGGTGTTGACACTGTTCTTGGCTGCCCTGTTGGAGCAGTTACTGCAGAGCTGTTTCAGGTTCCCTGTGTGTTGATGGACCAACTTGTACCCTTTGCATCTTATGGCGCATTTCCACTATAGCGCGGTTTAAGCTTGCCGTGCCCGTTTTTGGTTGCATTTCCACTTGGCGTAGTTCCGGCTAGCAGGTACTATTTCACAGTTTTCTGGCCCCATAAAATCAAGGTTCTTAGCGGGCCAACAACCGGGCTGAGTCGGGCTGAGTAATAACTAGAGAGAGAATCACTGGCAAGGGGGCTACAACTACAACAAGATGAACATATTTGACCGTGATTTAATTGTAATACACGTTTCAAAATGATGCCGAAGTAACAACATACTGATACCGGTTAGTAAAAACCATGAATTAATGCTTTGACAAGTCTGCAGATAGACGGCAGGCGAAAAACCCTTTTAAAATGCGTGTTTTCTAAATGTAGCTTGGCTAAGCTAACGTTATATATTCTCCGACCATCCACACTCACAACAACGGCCTATACAGACATAAATAAACCAGCGACTGTATTCGCCATGACACAGGCAGTCTGTGGTTTGTACTTGTTTAACTTTTGTCAAGTTTCTGAACAGATATGAGGAGCTGTGAGCTCTGAGTGCTAAGAGCTAACGGCTGTGTTGTTTTTCTGTGGTTCACATTGAAGATGACGTCACGGCTCCGCCTACACTGCGTTACTATAGTTACTGCCCCAGCTACTAAACTGTAATGGAAACGCAGCATAAAGTGAGCCAGTCCTAACAAGGCCTAACTATACCGTACTAAGCCAATGGCCCTGCAATGGAAATGCGCCATTACTTTGTTTGCCTCGTATCATTTCAAGCGTATTCCCATCCAAGATTAAATATGAGAGGGCTGCACATAAGGTTTGATTTTTAAAAGGATGTTCTTCAAATATGTAGAATTTGAAGAACATTCAAGAAAGTATTTCACGGTGTTTGCTTTCGGCCTGTGCCTCATCATTACTTTTTTAGTTTTGGTCTTCTAAGGGAAAAGTGTGGCCCCCTCCTAATGAATTAAAGAGTTAAAGAAACTGAAAGTCATATTTGAAAGTCCCATTTTTCAGTTGCTTTTCATACCTACAGATTACATTTCCCCCCACGGGTTAGTTTGTGTTGTGTTATGGAAGCATAAACAAAGTATCTAGGCAGGGAAACTCACACACATGCTTTAGTAAGCTTTGAAGTAATAATACATGAAAGGGTTATCGTTGTTCTGCATTGGTTTTGCCTGTGTCTTGATGTTACTCGTTTGTGTTTTGGCAGCCATGAAGCTGATGACAGCCCTGGTGAATGTAGCTCTGAACCTGAGCATCAACATGGACAACACTCAGCGCCAGTACGAGGCGGAGAGGAATAAGATCGTGGCCAAAAGAGCTAACGACAGACTGGAGCTGCTCCTGCAGAAACGCAAAGAGGTGAGGGTGGCCGCATGGCAACGTGCCCCCTTTGTTTCAAAATACCTGAGCACATGCCTTTCGCATTTCAACACACATCAGATGATTCAAAACTTTGGCAGGAAGTCAACAGGCCAATTTGTATATAGTGTGCGCTCACTGATATGTATGCTTTTTGTTTATGTAATATCAAATCCTTCCTTGTACAGAATTGTGGAAAACAGTGTGTTTTGATAGATACAGAGCTATTGTAATAACACAGCAGAGAGCTACGATTATTATTATTTCCCCCTCGCTCTAGAGTACAACGATAAACTTCTGCCATTCAAAAGATATTCAGCCAGTGATGTCGGAAAGGAAATTGCATTTTCATTGTTTTTATTCCCATGTAGGCCGAAGTCTGCTTTCCAATTAAATTACCTTTTTTATATAATGCCTTTTTTAACCACTTTTTCCGTAGTTCGTCTTTTCCCAGATAGCCAATTTAATTCAGAGCAGTTGGCTTAAGCGGCCAGTCATTCTTTTTGCATTTCTAGTAAAAAAACAAGGCGACCTAAAAACCCACTACATCAGTTAAGTTTGTCATTTCGAAGAACCTTGTTTTAATAATCATGGAAAGTGGCTGTAAAGAGAGGTAGGAGTCAAAACATCAGTCAGACCCACTTCTTTTTTTGTACTTCATGTAGGACTAATGTTTAAGCCAAAATTGAACGAGAAACTATAATAGAAATCCAAATGAAACATTGCCCCATCTGCTGATTCACATCATCCTGCCTGACATGTAGTCAAACCATTTAGGTAAGGCCCCTGCAACCGAGCTTACTAATGACACTAATGGATATAAGAGTAAATAATTGTGGATTGCTCCAGCTCGTCCATAAACCTGTTCCATTTTTAGAACTGCAACACCTCTGTAGGTGACAGAGCCGCAGTGACTGTGTTAGTGTAATAGAGAGGCGAAGTCACGCCCATCTACTTCTGAAAAAGTTTGCATTGAAGTCAATGGAGAGAGAAAGATTATCTTTCGATCCCGTTTGAATTGTGCCACGAATTACACATATGATGTTTGTCAATTTAAAAAAATAATTTCCATGTCAAAAAAAGTCACAGTTTGTCTTAAAACTGTTGACATGTAAGACTATGAAAAATACACAACTAGAAAGACTACGAATCCCGGTCCCGCATGCTGGCTCTTACGGAACCGACTAACTCCCCTTGTGTGTATGTACAGCTCTCAACATGCCCAGACTTGTAGTGATTTTCACCTCTTTTAATACTTTTCACCTCATTCTGAAAGAAAGACGTGAAATGTGACTGGTGTGTGGTGCGGGATGGGAGATGTAGTTAATTGAGCGGTTTCACACAAAAAAAGTGTTACTTCACATTTTTACAACACATTTTTATTATTGTTTTCAAAATGATCTTTTAAATTGACAAACATCATATGTGTAATTCGTGGCACAATTCAAACAGGATCAAAAGATAATCTTTCTCTCTCCATTGACTTCAATACATACTTTTTCCGAAATAAGGTCCCATGGAGCTCCCCCGGAAAGGGAGGGACTTCGCCTCTCTATTCAGCAGGGATTGTCTGTTTTATTCCCGTTATACAACAGCCGGTCCCACCGGGCATCCATCTGTTGGTTCACTTGGCAAACACGCTCGTCTGTTATGTTTACGATGCCTCTCATTCACCTCTTACTGTAGCATTCTGTGCATTAAGGCTTCATGTGTGACCAATGTCTTTTGTTCTGCTCTCCATTTCAGCTCCAAGAAAATCAGGATGAGATTGAAAACATGATGAACGCCATATTCAAAGGAGTGTTCGTTCACCGATATCGGTATGGCTTCCCATAATGCTCATCTATTATTCAAAAAAACGATGACGTTGATTATGGTTTTTAAAGCATTTAGCGAAACTGTATCATCGTATCCTGTTAAACAAAGACTTTTGTGATGCTTTCCAGTGATGCGATAGCCGAAATCAGGGCGATCTGTATAGAAGAGATCGGAGTGTGGATGAAACTCTATAGCGATGCCTTCCTCAACGACAGCTATCTGAAGTATGTGGGCTGGACGATGCACGATAAGGTGGGTCAACAATTCTTTAGCTCTTTTTCTTAAGATTCTTCTAACACACACACGGTCCAGCGTGAAGTTATTACTTTATTTTGCTCATCATACCTTTTGACGACTGTGTGAAACAAGTAATAATGTGAGTTATGGCTTCACAACTAATCTACATTTTTATAAAAATTGCAACATGGATCAGTGCAATATTCAAATGGCAGGAAGCACAATGTTTTAATGCAGAAAAGGTGTTAAAATAACATTTTGAATACATTTTTGTGGAGCTGTAGTATTATCTGGCCTAAAAATCGCATTCTACAAACTCTACAAAATATATTTTGCTCCAAATCCTCTTTTAAAAATCACACCATTTAATATATATATATTTTTTAATGATCACGAGAATTCTGAAATTAAATTTTTTTTATTTAATCGCTCAAATCTCATCGCAATTGCAATATCACCAAAAAATAAATCGATAAATGTGCAGCCTTGATTTAAAGCCCTCCTTCTCTTACTTTTGTTGAATCTGTAGGTGTAGCCTGATTATGTTGGTATTACAGGGAGTTCTGTGGTGCCACATAATTCCCAGTGTAGCTGAACGTCAGACTGAGCAGATGTCTACTCAGGCAGAATAATTGAAAGCACCTGTGTGGGTGTGCAGGGCTGTGAAAGGCCCAATCAATGACTCAATTGTTAACTAAGTGTAGCAACAGAAATCCAGAGCACACAATGAATGCCTGCTGTTACACTGCCATTGATTCACTAATTCTCTAATTGGAAATCAAAAGGAAACGGCAAGTTATGTTTTCAAGGTTTGTTTTTTGTAAACACAAGAAGGAAAAGTATTCTATAAACTTAAATGACTGTTTTTTCAATTATCTTGTGCAGCAAGGCGAGGTACGTCTGAAGTGTCTGACAGCTCTGCAGGGTCTCTACTACAACAGAGAGCTCAACGCCAGACTGGAGCTCTTCACCAGCCGCTTCAAGGTCAGCACCACCTGCTGGACACTTCCCTCACAACAGCCTTATTGTTTCAAACGTATACACATGCTCTTTGGACTGTGCACTGACAGAATGTCACCTACTAATCAGTTGCAAAATAAATGATCTTTAATTGATTTATCTCTGCACAGGACCGCATTGTCTCCATGACTCTTGACAAAGAGTACGACGTTGCAGTACAAGCGATTAAGCTGCTCACTCTAGTGTTGAAGTAAGTGCCTGTGTTCTTGGTTGTCTGTGTAATATTATTTCCATATATAAATAGAGCATAGTATTTGCGTTAAAGGCACACACTTTTCTAGAATCACCTCAAGTGCACTCTGATAACTACTTGGTTACTAATGTTTACTTTCTTATTTGCCCCTGCAGTAGTACAGATGAAGTGCTGACTCCTGAGGACTGTGAGAGTGTGTATCACTTGGTCTACTCGGCACACAGGCCCGTCGCCATCGCAGCTGGAGAGTTCCTCTTTAAGAAGTATGTCCGACTTAAATCCAACTTCTCACTGAACAGAACAGAGAAGCATTAGGGGAATTATTTTAGAGGCTACTTGGGAAAGGAGGAGAGCATTTATGGAGTAAATATCGAAATACAGTAAACAAGAATTGAGGGCTCTGATGCGTTGAGATTTATCTAAATTCTGATCCTGAGGCCAGTAAAGATTCACACCTAATGACTAAAGAAAATAGTATGTGAGGGTGCATTAATAACTTTGTAGCTTTTGCATCACTGAGTTTTTCTAAGTTCACAACTTGTTTTTATGTTTAGTTAATTGAACAAGTCAGTCCTCAGTTGAGCTTGTGTGTTTGCATTGTGCCACTTGCAGTTGTGTGTTTGCCAACTCATGCTTTAATGTTCTCACAGATTGTTCAGCCAGCGAGAACCAGAGGAGGAAGGTGCCCCCAAGAGGAGAGGCAGACAAAGCCCCAACGCCAACCTCATCAAGACCACTGTCTTCTTCTTCCTGGAGAGCGAGGTATGGCATCACGCTGTTTGGATAGTTACTCTCACACATGGGCTAAAGTCTTTCCTTCCAGTGTCCTTCATTTGAGTGAACATTCCCCCCCAGCTTCACGAGCATGCGGCCTACCTGGTGGACTCTCTGTGGGAGTGCGGTCCAGAGCTACTGAAGGACTGGGAGTGTATGATCAGCTTACTGCTGGACGACCCGCTGCCGGGGGAGGAAGGTGAGGCACCGGTTTCTAATTCAAACCAACGCCTCTTGTGTTACGCTGAGCACCAACAGATCATTCTGATTGTTTTATGTCACTTCTTGCAGCTCTCACGGAGAGACAAGAGACGGCCCTGATAGAAATCATGCTGTGCACTGTACGCCAGGCGGCTGAATGCCACCCACCTGTTGGGAGAGGAACAGGGAAGAGGGTAAGAGCGGCTCACACATTTTCAAAGAATGCTCAAATGATAACTCAGGGCTTTCTTCGCATAGGCCTGACTGTAATAACAGCCATTGTGTTGAACATTGATCAGTCAACTTTAGAGATGGATCAGTGCTAAATCTAAAGGCACTTTATGTCCACCTCACTTGCACAGTAAATGTATTTTTAAATAAGTCTTCAACCCTCATAAAGTGAGCATTTCATCTTTGCCTCCTTCTTCTTGCTTTGTCTGACAGCTGTGTTTAAGAATTTAAGATAACATCATTGTTTTCTACGAATGGTAGATTGCATTTGTTGGAGCATGTGAACAGTTGTTGGTTGATATTGGGGAATGTATAACACTGTTTAATGCTCGTGTTTACACATTTGAGATAAAAGAGCCTGCTAAATGTTTTCCTGCCATTCTGCTTGCTATTGCCTGTAGACAGTTCATGTGTAGCCATTTCCTTAAGGACTGTAGTTACCAAATCTGGCAGGATATTATACCATTCACTTAATTTGTTACCATCTAATAGAAATGAGACGTTAAAGTTCTAAAAATAAACTTTGTTTCTTAAGGGATATAACTTTAGAAGCCTTTTGGTCCTTTTTAAATATGTATTTGAAAGCTAAACTACTTATTGACGAGCATGATACGTTTAAATAATTTGAAGACATTTTTTTTAAACAGTTAAGATATCTCATAGACACATTTAAAACCTGCCGCTCAAACATTCTTCTTTTGAACTGGAGCTACATACATCTCTATAAATGTGACATTTGCACATGGCATCAACTTAACCCGAACTCTAACCGCAAATAGCCTCTTTTGAAAAGTAAACTCTACAGAAAGTTCGATGTGCAGAACAAGCTCTAACTCTCTGCATGTACGATCAGGTGATGACGGCTAAAGAGAAGAAGACTCAGCTGGATGACAGGACCAGAATGACGGAGCTGTTTGCTGTGGCTTTGCCCCCTCTGCTGGCCAAGGTATGATACAGCCACTCTGTTCTCAACAAGTGTTCTCAACAAGTGTTCTGCCTCTGTGTTCATCTGTTAGAAAATATAACGTTGAATGTTTGTCCCACAGTACGCCATGGATTCAGAGAAGATAACTAACCTCCTGCAGCTGCCTCAGTACTTTGACCTGGACATTTACACCACAGGACGTCTAGAAAAGGTAATACAGAAAGCACTAGTTAAATAAGAGAAAATTGGGTTTGTTTGTTTGTCTTCCTCATTGACTGCAATAACACATGATACGTCTCTCTTAACGCAGCACCTGGAGTCCCTGCTGCGTCAGATCAGGGAGATTGTGGAGAAGCACACAGACACTGACGTGTTGGAGGTCTGCTCCAAGACTTACCACGCCCTCTGCAACGAGGAGTTCACCATCTTCAACAAGGTGGACATCGCCCGCTCCCAGCTGCTGGATGAGCTGGTGGACAAGTTCAACCGGCTACTGGAGGACTTCCTTCAAGAGGTAGGAGTGACGGGACGCACGTGTTCCTGAAACACGCATGGTTTTACTCATCACTCTTCTGGTCAAATGGGCCTGACCCTCTAACACTTATCTACTTAACCACATCATAAATTCGCCTCCATGTTTTTCCTTATTGTTATGTTTCACCTGAAAATGTCAACTTTGATTTACTTGCAATAAGACTTTTAGTCCAAGACTTTGGTGACACAGGGCTCAACGCTAACTTTTAAAAGTGGTTGCCAGGCTGGCAACCAGGCATCAGCTTTTGGTTTCCAAAACTGAAATACGGTTGCCATTTTTAGACACCTTATATTTTAAATAATTAAGATACTATACAGTTATACATCAACTTAATAATGAACATGTGACACAAAAGAATGTTCAAATGCTTTACAATAAGTAATTAACACAATGAATTGAAACTTAAGTGGTAGTAAACTTGTCCACCCTCAATTGCTGGTATACTAAATACCAGTAGTGCGGTTGTTCTTCACAGATCCCTCACAAATGAATTGAGCAAGTCACTGGTTTCTTGGTCATCCGTTGTCTCCCTTTCAAATGTGGGTTTTCCTGACCTTTGTGCTGACCCCCAGCATAGATCCATTGGCCCTTCAGCATTGAAGTCTTGGATTGGCCAGACTAATACATTTCTAATGTTAAATAAATGAAAACCATTCACACGCTAAAGTTTCGTTTTGCACTTTTATTCTGGTAGTAATAAGATCGGGACTCTTATTTAGGAACTTAAACCAGAAGTGAATGGACAACGGAGCAGAATGCACATATATATTTCGCCTCCCAAGACTTATGTTAACAAATAATTAACATTTATCTCTTTTGGGGTGCACATTTAGCTGTTTGCTGTCCTTATTTCTTTATGTAAAAAAACTGGTTGCCACTGATGGCGACCAAAGGCCAAGAAGTTGTTGACATGTCAAATCAACATTTACGTTTGATCTGAAAAGCCGTGTTTGTATCCGCACTGGGAGGCTCAGTCTTTTTACCAGATGAGTAAACCATAACAATTTAACACGGTTCCCAAATGTCTCTTTCCAGGGTGAAGAGGCTGATGAAGATGATGCTTATCAGGTTTTGTCAACTATAAAGAGGATCACAGCTTTCCACAAGTAAGACATTCATTTTAATTTGAGTACCGTTTCCTTCCCCCTCTCCAATCTCCTGTGCTAAAGACATAGCAATAATGTACCTCTGCTACATGTGTCTGAAACTGACTGGAGTTTTCCTCTAACCTGTTGTAGCGCACATGACTTGTCGGGGTGGGACCTGTTCACCAGCAACTTCAAGCTTCTCAACACAGGCATAGAGAATGGAGACATGCCCGAGCAGGTTAGTAAACATACACACGCGCAAAGTGAACGCTCATAAAATGATCCATTTTGAGAAAAGTAATGAAGCTAACTCATCTGTGATTGATTTTCTTCTCTTCTGGTGAGCAGATAGTCATCCACTCTCTGCAGTGTACCCACTATGTGATCCTGTGGAACCTGGCCAAGTCCTCTGAGGGCAACTCCAAAAAGGTGAGGTCTAAAAGACAAACTTCATAGCCCTATTCTGCACTGAAGAGAACTTGAAAGAGCAATGTTAACAAATTAAATCTGTCTTTTCTATAAAAAATCAGGACGACATGATTACCCTGAGGAAGCAGATGAGGGCGTTCTGTATGATGTGTCAGCGCTACCTCACTAATGTCAACACAGCCGTCAAAGAACAGGTGACACACACACACACGTGCATATGACATTGACATGTGTAGCAGCAGTCGTTGCAAACATCTTTGATGCATATCTTTAACGTGGACCATCTGCGCCTCACAACAGATGTATAATTTAAAATTCCCTGTATCATTTTCTCAGGAACATCACGTGCAACAAGTGATGTTGCACTGCTCTCGTCCACACTGACCTTTTGTATCTTTTTCTGTCTCCTTCCTCCCTCCTACAGGCATTCACCATCCTGTGTGATCTCCTACTCATCTTCAGCCACCAGATGGTGTCCGGAGGCAGGGAACACCTGGAGCCTCTGGTCTATTCCCCCGAGGACTCGCTGCAGGTGGAGCTGCTCTCCTTCATCCTGAACCATGTCTTCATAGACCAGGACGATGAAACAAACAGCACAGGTACAAATGACCAGGTCAGGCAGCTCATTTACTTTCTGCTCTGCTCCCAAAGCAAGGACAGCAAGTAAGGGTCCACTAATGCGGCTTTCTGAGCGCCAGGGTCTTTTTCAATTGTTGCGACTTTTTCGCAGATTCTTGATTGAAAAAAAAAAAAAAAAACGGTTTACACCCAGCGGCTTTTTTTTCTGAGACCACTCCTGTTTGTGTGCCTGCTCCAAGCCCTGGCAGTTAGAAATAGTTTAAAATGTTTGAGAAAAGGTTTGGTGACATCACTATTAAAAACTGGAGCAGTAGCTTGTTTATGGCCGCGTCCTCAGACAGAAACATCACAGAGATGGAAAAGCACATTTCGGCCGAGCGGACCTTGGATGCTGTTGCCGGGGAGTTTTGTACTTTTATTGCCGCACGAGGATTGTCCTCCTCGCTCTACGTCTGTCAGACTGAACGCCGAAGCTCATTCATATAAAGTGTAAGAGCAAGCATTCCCAGGTTCAACGTAATGGTAGAAAACAATGTCAAACAAATAGAGTAGCAGAAATAGGTGGCGATTCTGGTCTGTCGTACTACAGTGGTGAAACGATCCTCTTCCGGGCGCCTTTCTGCTAGATACAGGCGCTATGTGGTCACATGCACTTTTTGCAAATCGGCCAATGTGCAGCTTGTAATTTTCCCTTTTCTTCTCCAATCACCTCAGACGGGCAACAGGACGATGAGGCACTAAAGATTGAAGCCCTGCACAAGAGGAGAAACCTCCTCGCTGCCTACTGTAAACTCATCATCTTCTGCGTGGTAGACATGAAGACGGGAGCGGACATCTTTAAACAGTACATGAGGGTTCGTTCTGATCAATTAAAAATGGCCAATAATGAACTGTACACGTGCAGCAGATGGTACATTGTCTGTCTTATCATTACACATATAAATCCTTTCGTCTACAGGGATACATGTTAATGTCTGAGTAATGTTTTCTGCGTTCTTTACAGTATTACAATGATTATGGAGACATCATCAAGGAGACTATGAGTAAGACTCGGCAAATCGACAAGATTCAGTGTGCCAAGACGCTCATCATCAGTCTGCAGCAGGTCAGTCACCACACTTTTGCTCCCTTGTTCATTCTTTCAGTCACTTTGAATTGTTTCATCCTACTTTGTAAGAGATGGTTAGTCTTATGTTTTCCTCCTCTTCTCCTTCTTCTAGCTGTTCCATGAGATGCTGTCTGAGCTGGGCCACGGGTTCGACCGCTCCTCCTCTTTATTCTGCGGAATCAAAGAGTTGGCTCGACGCTTTTCTCTTACCTTCGGTCTCGACCAAGTGAAAACCAGGGACGCTATCGCTATGCTTCACAAGTAAGGCTTCGTTCCACTCCTGTTACATTTGTTGGCTTGGCATCTGGGAACTGTCACGTTAGACAAATGACCCTTTGATTAGCGTGCTTCTGCTTGCCATGTTGTTCTTTCCTCTGGATTTATGATGCCCTAAGTGATATAATGTTGCACTTTTGCCTTTCCCAATAACCCGTAAAAACATGAAACGCACAGCAGAGAAACAGACCCACAAACACACGACTCCTCTGTTGCATACTTAACCCAGAGCAGCACAATGTGTTCCGTGTCTAGCAAAATGTGGGCCTCTCAGTTTGTAACAATGCTAACTCCTGTGGCTACATCATGTAATTCCCACCATGGTGTTTAAAGGCTATCTGTTGCAGTGACACATTTGACCTTTTTAAGAAGTACATATTGTTTCCTTTCAGCAGCAAACGAGTGTATTAAAGGCTCACAGTCCTCCACATTTGTAAACACACCAGCGTCATCACAATTCATTTCTCATGTGGATTATAACGGGATCATCTCGGCCAGGTTCCAGGAAATCTCATGTATGCACATTTGTTACGCTAGCTTTTGCGTCCCCTACACTTGTGCAACACATGGGCGCACTATGTAACGGGATATGCCAGATGTGCGACAGGCGGTAAAGAAATGACAGCCAGGCTAAACTAGCTTTGTTTCCATCTAGTATTTAAGATACTAAACTGAACAAAGTGTATGTAGCGCTGCATTACATTATAGCAGTGTGAACACATTATGATTGTCTGTTCTTCTCACAATCAGAACTAAGTGACACATTCAGTTATGTAGGCTTTAAAGAACTAACACGGCTGAAGAACATTCTTCAAATCTGTTGGATTTGTTTCTAAAAAAGTGAGCGAAACGCTTTAATCATTTAATCTTCTTTTTTTTCAATGAGAACTGATTCAATAATGATCAATCTCTCAATACCGTGATTCATATCGCAGCTGCAAAATCATTCCAAAATAATCACATTAAGTATTTATTATATATTCCAAACTCAATCTGTTGATACAAGGTATTAAGAGAGGTACTGAGAGAAGCTTCTTAAAAACTCAACTCGTAAAAGTCGTTTAACTCACGCTGCTGGACTTAATGTTTTAAACTAGCACAACATGACCATGGTTCAAAATACTAACTGAATATGTTATGACATTTTCCACCTGTTAGACTTCATTTTAATATATGACACTACGCAGTCGGAATTAAATGTTTTATGCCCATGAAGCCACACCTTTTGCTCAGTGTTTCTTTTCTTTCTCCCTGTCTCTGCGTCTCAGGGACGGTATCGAGTTTGCCTTTAAGGATCCAAGCACCCAGGGAGAGGGAGGCCCGCCTCTCAACTTGTCTTTCTTAGACATCCTCAGCGAGTTCTCCTCCAAGCTCATGAGACAAGACAAGAGGACTGTGTAAGTGTTTCCCTGCCGAGCCGACAGTCGGGGGTCTTCAGTGTAACAGGTGTTTGTGACAACTGGTGCAACTGGTGTCTCTGATGCGTGCAACGCGGCTCTTTTCCCCCCAGTTGGAATGTGCACCTGGTTGTCTGCAAAGATGCATGAGTTTCTTCATCTTGTTTTCTGCTTCTCCTCAGCCACATGTACCTGGAGCGCTTCATGACGTTCCAGATGGCGCTGCAGCGGGAGGACTGCTGGCTGCCCCTCATCTCCTACAGGAACTCCCTGCAGGCCGGCGGCGATGACGACACCATGTCGGTGATGAGCGGCTACTCGAGCAGAGGGTCTTCGGTCCGCTCCAAGAAGATTAAACCCCCGGCTGTTACAGCTGGAACCTCAGCAGCCAAGAGGAAGCTGCCAGAAGGTATCCCCCACTAAGGAACCCACACAATCATTAAGGAGGGGGCTCATAACTGGGGTGTCTTTTTGACTATGTAGAATCATGAATCAGAATCAAACTACTTTATTTATCCCTGGGAACATTTTCTTTCTTTGAATGTTGATCCCTTTTTTGCATGAAATAAATAAAAGACACGTTTATAAAAAATAAAAATAAACTAATATTAATAAAAAGTTTAATTAAATATGCAATAATAAAGTTAAGTAAAATATACAAACATAAGACATTAAAGTAAACTATCCAATAAAAAGGTGAACCATATACATTAGAGCCCAGGTCTTCATGTGAACCATATACATTAGAGCCCAGGTCTTCATGTGAACATAGAGCCCAGGTCTTCATGTGAACCATATACATTAGAGCCCAGGTCTTCATGTGAACCATATACATAAGAGCCCAGGTCTTCATGTGAACATAGAGCCCAGGTCTTCATGTGAACCATATACATAAGAGCCCAGGTCTTCATGTGAACATAGAGCCCAGGTCTTCATGTGAACATATACATTAGAGCCCAGGTCTTCATGTGAACATAGAGATTAGAGCCCAGGTCTTCATGTGAACATAGAGATTAGAGCCCAGGTCTTCATGTGAACATATACATTAGAGCCCAGGTCTTCATGTGAACATATACATTAGAGCCCAGGTGTTCATGTGAACATATACATTAGAGCCCAGGTGTTCATGTGAACATAGAGCCCAGGTCTTCATGTGAACATATACATTAGAGCCCAGGTGTTCATGTGAACATATACATTAGAGCCCAGGTCTTCATGTGAACATAGAGCCCAGGTCTTCATGTGAACATATACATTAGAGCCCAGGTGTTCATGTGAACATATACATTAGAGCCCAGGTCTTCATGTGAACATATACATTAGAGCCCAGGTCTTCATGTGAACATAGAGCCCAGGTCTTCATGTGAACATATACATTAGAGCCCAGGTCTTCATGTGAACATAGAGATTAGAGCCCAGGTCTTCATGTGAACATATACATTAGAGCCCAGGTGTTCATGTGAACATATACATTAGAGCCCAGGTCTTCATGTGAACATAGAGATTAGAGCCCAGGTCTTCATGTGAACATATACATTAGAGCCCAGGTGTTCATGTGAACATATACATTAGAGCCCAGGTCTTCATGTGAACATAGAGCCCAGGTCTTCATGTGAACATATACATTAGAGCCCAAGTCTTCATGTGAACATATACATTAGAGCCCAGGTCTTCATGTGAACATATACATTAGAGCCCAGCACATCAGCAGCAGGGCTGGAGCCCAGATTAACCCAGATGCCCGGCGATCTGATGCGGAGGAGATTAAACAGCAGATGGTGGGAGAGAGTCAGAGGACTCGGCTCCTGTCTGTGTGTTCGCTGAAGATTTACTGACGACCGAGGATGTTCTCATGATCAGTTATCTGCTTGCATCATATACAATCCCAGTTTGAGTCTGTTTACGTGGGAGAAATGTAACAAAATGAAGTGGTTTTTTTTTTTTTAAGTCAACTTAAACCCACTTAGTTTGAATACAAAAGTTCAGACAGACATCTGTAGACCATGACATTAATTATTAACAATAGCCTATAGCTTAGAACAAGACTGCCACATGTAGGCCTACGTCGGATCGGGACAAAAAATCAGCCCAGGAAACTCGACCGGTCCAACTCGGTACTGCTAGTCAATTGTCAACGGGGGGGGGGGTGCTAGTGAATTGTCCGACCAGCCCACTTGGGAAGACTCCCGGTATTCCCAATGGCCAGTCCGCCCCTGCCTACGTCTAACTAAAACAAATGATTCAAATAAGGAGATAAAATAATACAAATGACTGTTATTGGAAAGTTTGCATGAGGGGACTATTCAAAATGCTATTTCTTGTTGAATGATGAAAAGCAGGGCCTTTAGTATATCAGGTCACCAGTATTACGGTCATGTCCTTGGTATCACACAAGATCCCGGTCTTTGTGTAAAGATATTAAATAACAATCCTTAACTTGCTAACTTTGATTTGAAGTTCAGTATAAAGAACTTGTGTGCAATCTTGGCCTTTGAAAGCAGTATAATAGAACAAGTGAGTTTTGTGCAGTCTGTCTCACACTCTGACCTTCCCCTGCAGAGGAGACCAGCAGCAGTGAGCCGTGGCAGCAGAGCATGCAGACCCCCATCATGTTGCCGTCCCCCCACCTCACTTCCACTGCCATGCGAGACCCTAAGAGGGGGCGTGATGACAGCTTCATGGGAGTGTACCCCCTCCCCCAAGACCAGCCGCAGCCCCATCAACTACCGCAGCACCATCAACAGACGCCGCAGCACCAAACCCCCCTGGACTACAAGTGAGTGTTTGTCAGCGCCGCATTCCCGAGGGGTGATGTCACAGTAACAAGGGGCTACTGGTTCATTCAAATAATCTAAGTTACAGTTGAGGCCTAAATTATTAGCCCCCCAGGAGTTATGGAACATTTTCCTAAAATTCTTCCCAATGTTTCCAGCATTGATAAAACTTGATATAATCAAACATTAACCAGTGCTATTTAGTAGCTTTTGGTATATTTTGGAAAATAAAATAAGTTTTTAGGCTCGCTTTATATCAAATATAGTGAAAAATGGGTTGGTCAAAAAATATTAGCCCCCAGGCCATTAATAGTCGATAGTGTACCCTTTCTGAGCCACAACTGACAAAAACCTCTTAGAGTAGTTCTTTACTAGGTTGGCACAGGTCTCTTGAGGGATTTTGGCCCATTCTTCCATTGCAAATTGTTCCAGCTGGTCCAAATTGCGTGGTTTCCGAGCATGGACATTCACTTTGAGCCCCCGGCCAGATTCTCAATAGGATTCAGATCTGGGCTCTGTGCGGGCCACTCCAGCACCCTGGTTTTGTTGTCCTTTAGGAACTGTTGGATCAATTTTGATGTGTGCTTTGGGTCATTGTCTTGTTGGAAGACCCAGCGACGACCTAAGCGAAGACTAAGAGCAGATTTTTTTCATATTATCCCTCAAAATGTCAACATAATTTAAATTGTTCATGATGCCTTGCACCCGAACAAGGCTCCCTGTGCCTGAGGCTGCAAAACAGCCCCACAGCATGATGTGTTCTTACGGTTGAAGGCCTCTCCCTTTCTTCGCCAAACACAAGCAACATCCATGTGCCCAAACAGTTTCAGTTTAGTCTCATCAGACCAAAGCACAGACTTACAAAACTCATCTTTACCTTTCAAATGTTCACGGGCAAACCTCAGTCTGGCTCTGATGTGCCACTCTTTGAGTAAAGGGGTTCTTCTGGGACGATGGCCCTGAAGCCCACCACGTTGAAGAGCCCTCACCACTGTGTTCCTTGAAACATCAACTCCAGAAGAGGCCAGGTCAGCAACAATCATCTTGGCAGATGTCCGGGGATTCTTGCTGACATCTTTGACTATTTTCCTCTCCAGAGTTCTTGAAATCTTGCGCTTTCGACCACGCCTAGGTTTGTTTCTTACAGAATTTGTTCAAGACACTGTGAAGCGCTTAGAAATAGCAGAAATAGCAGTATAGCCTCACCCCTTATCATGAGCCTCCACTATCTTCTTTCTGAGCACAAGACTGATTTCCTTTGTCTTTGGCATGGTGAGTAGTAGTATAGTCCTTCTCAATAAGGTATCAGAGTGCCTGTTTCTTGGAGTCCTTTTATGCTGATTGAATGCTCAGGTGTGGTTTGAAAGCACTGGTGAATGTTTGATTATCAAGTTTTATCAATGCTGGAAACATTGGGAAGAATTTTAGGAAAATATTCCATAACTCCTGGGGAGCTAATCATTTAGGCCTCAACTGTACATACAAATGTGTACTTGTATTAAAACTACTTCACTATAGAATATATATTTCCTGCACGCAAAACCAGTTTTACTAAAACGTTTTTTTCTAAATACACTTGCAGCACTGAAATTGTTCTCCGTTACAAATGGATTCTCCTTTTGATAAATTAACAATATTCAAATAAATAATATGATATTTTTTCAGTGCAAAATTAATAACCGGTCAACATAAAAGTAGTTTGCACTTATAAAAGTTCAGATTCATGACAAGTGTTCACTCTTTCCAAATGTCCTCAGGGTGCATTTATGAATAGGAATATTTAAATCGATCTTTCAGTTCCACTGTTAAAAACATCAAACTTTTCACAAAAAAATGTATTTCTTACACTTTGAAATCCACAGAACCCTTTTTCTTTCCCCAATGTTCTGTTTTGCCCTGGAATAATGTGTTGTCCTTGAACCCTGATACCTCCTACCAGAGGTTTCTATAAATGTATCTAGGCCAGGCCCATCATACGTTGAGTTGATCACTTCTTCTCTACGAATGGGATCAACGGACGGATATGTAGCCAAACTTCATTAGGATAGTTAATTTCTGAGGGTAAACGGTTGCAAGATGCTTGTACTCAGCACCCTGCCAAGTGTTGCTCCTGCTGGGACAGTGACTGATTAGTTAATTTATCCGACCTGACTTTTCATAGGAGCCAGGCCAGGTATTTCAGTCCGACATCATTGTAGTATCTCCAGTTTAATTACCAAACACAGTGGAGTAAAAACCTTTGTGCGTGCAGTTCCCAGGTGACGTGGATGCTGGCTCAGAGACAACAGGAAGAAGCACGCCAGCAGCAGGAAAGAGCCATGAACTACGCCAAGCTCAGGACCAATCTGCAGCATGCCATGTAAGACACACACACCTGCACACACACCTGCACACACCTGCACACACACCTGCACATAGTGTGAACATAGAAGTTACATTTCCAGTGCATGACATTAAGGATTTTGGGAGATGGCCCTGTGGGCCATCTAAGCTAATTTACAGATGGCCCTGAGCCCAATAGAGATTGCCCTGAGAAATGCGCGCGGACGAAATGACGCACGAAGGGTTTGGGGGGGCCTCCCCCTAGAACATTTAGATTTTTGCAGGTCTTAGATGCTGTCTGGTGCATTCTCTAGACCAGTGGTTCCTACACGGTGTGCCGTGAGGCAAGTCCGGGTGTGCCGTGGGATTTTGTGACAACCATACGTTATTATTGCAATAATATCAGTACTTTGTAGGTTTATATGTACGTAATCTGCGCGACTTGCGCGTCCACATCTCCACGTGCAGTGCTGCATAAACATGGCTGAGTCAGCGATAACTTTCGAGGGGTGGAGGTATGCCCATTACTTTGAGTTCGTCCGAAGAATAGACAGGAATGTGACGGTGAGGTGCAAACTGTGTCCAGGCCAGAAGCTGTTATCCACTGCTGGAAACACCACGTGGTCAAACCTCAACAAGCACCTGCAAAGAACACATGCTAAGGTGAAGCTACCGCACACGCTATTTGTTGTTTGTTGATATCACGTAGTCTGTTCTTCTTCTCTGTCTTCCGGTTGTTGCCTGTTTTGAATGACAAATACACACTACCGCCGCCTGCTGGTAAGGAGAGTTATTGCCACTCACGCATGCGCAGTTCGTACGTGCTCGACGAGTAAAGTAACGAGTTACTTTATGTAGATAGTAACGAAGTAGTGTAATATATTACTTTTTTTAAAGTAATATGTAATATATTAAAAAAAATTAGTAACGACCCCATCTCTGGAGTTGGCGTTCTCTACTCTGGTTTACATGAAGAACAACAGGAGGTCACGGCTCTCTGTTGAACAGGACTTGCGAGTGGCCCTCTCCTCAGTGCCACCAAGGATTACAAAAATCTGCGCGCCCCGACAGGCACATGTATCTCACTAATTTGTAAGTCGGCAAAATATTTACAATAGCACATGTTTCAATGCTGATTGCTGAAATGTTAATGTTGTGACCCGTCTGGTTTAAATGAGTGTGTTGCTGCTTTGATGAAGCCTAATTTGATAACGTTTCAAATTAATTTCTGAAATACTTCGTTAATAAATATTTCATGAGTAATATAGTTGTCTTTGTCACATTTTATTTGGCATTAGTAAATAATTATGCACATTTACAGATATTTTACATGATATGAGTGATAACACGTGTTATAAGGGCTATTTTGCACAATAGGTGTGCCTTGAGATTTTTACTTGTCCTTTGGTGTGCCTTGAGCACAAAAAGTTTGGGAACCACTGCTCTAGACTGAATTATAAGATGAGCCACTACAATATTATATTGTACAATTTCAATTTTATTCTTCATTTCACTTGTTTGTTTGTTCTTGTTTGTGTTTGCTCGCTTTCATGCCCTGCATAGCTATAAGAAATACTTAAGTTGTTGATCAAGACACTTTCCATCTGATGAAGGCAAATGCCTTCCCAGATGTAAAAAAGTAGAAAACATTACATTCAGTTATAACTGCCAAAACAAACATTATTTACACTATTATGGCCCCTGTTAAAAATGTATGAAATGTTATCTACTAAATTGGTCGAACGAATCCAGAAGCTGACCGAGCAGCAGTCGAGAGGAGCCGAGCGCATCCGCGAAGCACACAACATGGTGACGTCAGAGTTCCCGTTAGCCGGCAAAATCTAAATCTCTTCGGTCAAAATGTCCGGTCAAAATAATTTCCCTTTAGCGCAATACCGCTCCAGTTGCGCCACTTATGTGACAGACAAGAAGAATATGTGACAGACAAGAATAGTCAATTCTAATGTCTAACACCTAATGTGGAGAAAGAGATGTCCTGGATGGGTTGATTGTGCGTTGATCTGTTGGTAATGCCTCGGGGTTCCGGTGGGCATGTAAACAAATGCGCTATACTTTGTGGCCTCACCCAGTTGCATAACGACACTTATTGTTTAGGTGTCTTTTAATAAGCAGGTAGTCATATCATTAGCTAGAACTAGCTGGATCTGATCGATATGGACATAAACGCGAGTCTAATCTGACGGGAGAGAGAGATCAGCTGCTGCTGACGAGTCGACACGCAGCTCTGCATGATCACATGCAGCGGTGAGCGGGAAAAAAACACACACTTCAGGTTAGAATATCACACGTAGCTATTTTAATGACCTCTCAAACTACCTAAACTAGTTATAGATATGTTTAGTTTTACTGTCGGGTCACTCATTACTGATCCGCGAGTTGCATGATACTGGCATAATAGATTGCCCGATCGGGCAACCAGCAGGTGAGGCTTCATTGCCCGATCGGGCAACCAGCAGGTGAGGCTTCATTGCCCGATCGGGCAACCAGCAGGTGAGGCTTCATTGCCCGATCGGGCAACCAGCAGGTGAGGCTTCATTGCCCGAGCTAAATACTAGATGGCCCCGGGCCATCGGGCAGTCCTTAATGTCGAGCCCTGATTTCCATAATTGAACAACTGTTTGTTTTTGCAGTCGTCGCGGCACTGGGCTGATGGAGGAAGACGAAGAGCCGATCGTGGAGGACGTGATGATGTCATCAGAGGGCCGCATGGATGACCTCAACGAAGGCATGGACTTTGACACCATGGACATTGATCTGGTAAGAGGCGCATTTAACTCAATAGTGTTTATTCATTCGTACCTAAATAAAAAGGTGGTGTTCTTTTAGTTAGTACAGGCAAGAGATGCACATAAAGGACACAACAGTATAATCAAATGTACCAGCTCACTCAAACATAAATGATAATGTTGAATAAATAACAAAGAAAACCGACCCTGTAAAGACTTCAAACAAATGAAGCCGAATGCTCTAAAGTCCTCTACAGCAGCAGTGATGCACTTAGATTCTGTTTCCCCTTTCTAAATGGCTTTCATTACTAACACCCTGTTGACTTCTTGGATCTCTGGAGATCAGATTCAACAAACAGGAAAGTATTCTTCAGACACTTAGTCAAACGGCCATTAGGAGGCAACATTAGCTGCTGTTGTTGCTACAAATGTAACATCTGGTCCCCGGACATTAAGGCCAGATGTTGCATCTGGAGAATCATCACGGTCTGATTATTTTTGCAGTCGCAATACTAGATATATTTTCAAACAGCCAGAAACATTTGAAATCTGATTTCAATTCTGAGATATGCTGAAGACAATCGTTTTCCAAACCTCAAAGTCCCAGAAAGCCTCGTTAGTGGATGGCATACTATCCTGAAGCTGGCGCCAGCTCACAAGTGGCCTCATGTGGAGACACACAAGAAACTTTAACTGCCGTTAGAAAGCCGTGTGGTTCGGATCGCCCAGGGAAACACATTCATTCCATGAGATTTGACTTCTCATCGTTTCTTGTTTATCATTTTCTTTTGAATGTTGAACTCGAAGACCACCGATCAAGGTCTTTTGTTTTATGGCCACATAGTTTCCAGAATGTGTCAGCCCCCTCCCTCAGTTTTTCCATTCAGCTTGATTTTTATTAGCACTCAGCTAACTACGTTAGCTTTGCCATGGCTCAGCCCAGAATATATTCTGATTGAATTACACTTGGTTACTGGTTTTGTTTGCATTCTCTGCCTACATGGCAGCTATTCTTAGAAAACACTGATTTGTTTTCCCTGCAAGCAGCTTGTGTTGATATTAGCATGTAACGTCAAAATGAGCAAAAAAGACAGGAGATCATCAAAGGGAATTGTTGGCTGTTGAAGGATGGGTCTGTTTGCTTTAAAAGATGAAGGACGACTTGTCAGCGCAACATGATGCATTTATTTCACCGGTTACCCTAACAACGCAAAAGCACGATGTATGATGAGTGAGAACCACATGTTATCCCAGAGAAAGGTCTATTTGGATTCTTCCCTTGTGCTGCTTTCTGTCTCAATAATCCAGATGTCATGTTGAATCAACCAGGAAATTGCCCTGGTTTTGCACTCCTCACGCTGCACATCTTTCACAATTGAGCTGTATGAGGACAACGCTGCAAATATCTGCTGAAATGATTTATCCTCTTTTATTTAAATAATACAGCAGGTTTGCTGAAATCCATATTATCACAACGTTGGGCTAAAGCAGATGGAGCAGGAAGAGTTTGTGGAATATTTAAACAAGGGCTTGGCGATATGACTAATATCATACATTACGATATTTTCTATCAAATGGCTCTATAGGTATTTCTATATTTGATGGTTGACCTTTGACTCTTAATCAAATATCATCAGTAATGTGGATTTTATGACTAAGTCGGTAAAGGCCAATAATAAAACACATCATTTCACTGTTACTGTTTCACCTTTTTTAAAACAAGACAAAGATGACAATTCTGCAATTACAATCTCAAATCTTAGACCATATCTAGTCTCATATCACCATATCGATATGGTATTCATTTCCCAGCTCTACTCTAAACACATTTTCTCTCTTCCAGCCGCCTTCGAAGAACCGCCGTGAAAGATCCGAGCTCAAGCCGGACTACTTTGACCCTGCCTCTATCATGGATGAATCGGTAGGTTGCATCTTCTCTCTATCTTAGCTCACAGTTATAAATATGTGTGTGTGTGTGTATATATATAGTGCTACAAACATAAACAGCGTGCTAACAGAGCCTGCAGGTGTGTTTGTGTAACGGCCAGCTGGAAGAGCTTGTGAGGAATAGTAAGAGACAACTCATCGCACTAAAATAAGTTCAACTGTATGTGAGGAAATGGAGACGTCTTGCAAACAGTCCCATTACACAGACCACTTCAGGGCACGTTGTGTTTGGGGGTGCTGAATGAGGCGGTGCAAAACATTTAGACAAGTCCCGCTGACCAGCCTGCACGCCAAACACAACATCTCATTGGTTGGAAAGCCAACATTTAGCCTGTGTGTAAACACGCCAATTTTTCATTTAATTCAGAATGCACTGCAGGCATTAGATTCCTGTTCCAGCCTCGGGAAGCCTCTGCGCTCGTTCTCACACTGAAACGCTCCCACTCTGCCTCGCTCTAGCACTTAGGAAATGTGTCTGTTTTATGTCAACTTTTGAGTTATTTCATAGTCACAAAAAGTATCGCAGCAGAAACACCGTTTTCTTTTCACCAAACACCAAGCCGTCTGGTTCTATTATGCTTTTCCTGAGAGGAACCAACACGCAGAACACTTAGCTGCTTTCAGCGCTGCACACAACCTGCTCACAAGAACTCTGTCTTAGATCCTTTTGTCCCTGATTTGAATAATAAAAGATTTGACCAATGATCAGGCTGTGCTTTTTGATCACAATGTGCTTCATTGCTGGGCTTGGAAGAATCTGAATTGTTTTTTTTTTGTCTAGCTTAGATGTGTACAAAACATAATAAATGGAATAATGTTCAGTCCTAACATGCCAAATAAAACACACACTAGCTTATTCAAATGTACGGCATAATTGATAAAGAAACATTATCAGTTTAAATGTATGAATCTAATGCGTGAGCAAACTATAGGAAGCCAGAGGGTGTTTCTCAATCTCGAGTACGCTTGCTTGGTAGCACATGTCTGCCGAGCTTCAGAAGCGAGGCAAGAATCCTTCCTGGCATTCGGAAAACGAAGAATGAAACAGGCGAGCAAGTGTGCAGGTGTGCGTCACACGAGAAGCCCGTCTTACATTTTCCGCCACAGATTTGGGGACATTGGTCCGTGCGCAAAGCAGTGTGGGGATTTTAACACCGCGGAGTCTACGTATGTGCAGCCTCGAAATTTCTCCTAACAAAGTACGCCGGGCTCGGTAGAATTCCAAGTATGCTGGACATTGGAACAGTACTTCGGCGGCACTCGATGACGTAGTATGCTCTTTACTGAGAAACACCCAGAAAGTCATTTGACTCGGTGCATTGTGAGATCAACAACATTAAAAACATACACTTACTTTTTGTTGGTGGCTGGCTTCAAGAATCACATTTGTTTCGTTGAATCTTTGACATTTAAAAAAATAAATAATTAGATGACCCAACCAGTTTGGTTTATACTAAGTACGACTAAAGTATTCCTATTTTTAAAGTTGTGAAACTCATTTACTTCTGTTATATAAAACATGCCAAATGCAACTCCTACATTTCATTAATTTGCATACTTTGTCTAAAAGTAGTAAATCATACCGTACTGTTTTCTTAGTACCTACATGTCTTGTGCCTACTGATTTCTTAAATGTCTTTGAACTGGTTGTTAATGCTTCCCCCTCTCCTCTAGGTCCTCGGGGTGTCCATGTTTTAAGCTAATCTCCAGATGATTTTGACGCTGGGATAACAGAAGAGGCGCTTTGTATTTAAAGAGAATTTTAGATGTGAAAACAAAAGTGTTTTCTGTAAGAAAAATCCAAAAAAAGAAATCAGGCTTGTACTCCACGTGGACCAACGACGACCCACACTCAGTGTTGCTTGCTCAGAGAGGACATTGTTTCAAATATTTACTTTTATAATCTTGGGTAAGCTCTTCCTGTTCAGAGATAGTGTGACAGGCCACTTCCAAACCTATTTAGAAATGAGACGTGTCTGAAGAAAAATACATAATAGCTTTTTTTTTTTTTCTCCTTTCCTTTTTTTTTAAAAACGGGGTTGAATTGGTGTTTTTAACTTAAAGGTGGGGTAGGTAAGTTTGAGAAACCGGCTCGAGATACACTTGTTGTTATATTCCATGGAATGCTCTTAACATCCCGATAGCAATGAATATCTGAAGTGCTTTGACAACAAATCCATAAAAAAAAAGTCATCTGTGGAAGCCGTAATACTGTAAAAAGCACGACCAATCCGTTTAGCCGGGATTGCCGCCCTGTCTGTCAGCCTTCCATCTCGTGCACGCACAAATGTATCTCGTGACCTCATTGGGCGTGCATTGCGCGTTCATGTGTGTTGGAGGAGGTGCTCTGTAAGGAAGTCTGAAGGAAGGGGCGGATTCTTTTCGGCTGTGTACTTTCAAATTTTAGTGCACTCGAGCCGGTTTCTGAAACGTACCTACCCCACCTTTAAGATACATTTTTTTGTTCATGTCTAACCCTTTTTACAATTGTAGTAAGTTACCAGGTGTGAAGTAGTAATTTATAAACAGACTGTAGTAGCTTGCTCGTACTGTGTTAGCCAGGTGGACGGAGGTCTTTATGTGTCTGTGCTCCTCCCTCCATCACGTCCTTGTTGTTGGGCCTCTTCTCGGTCCTGTAACCACTGGTGGTTAAGGCAGTGCGGTGTCACGTAGAATCAGTCCCCTTATGCTGTGAAGATTCCCCACACTGTTAAGCAGTAAGTCCCAGAGCTAACCCCAAGATTTGGACCACTCCGTAACCCTGCATCTACTGGAGAAATGTGCCCCCCCCCCCCCCCCCCCCCCCCCCCCCAAACAAAGAGCAGATTTCTCTCCCAGTAGTGCCACTGTGTGGGCTCTGGCAGATAGCAGCTCACTCAAAGAAATACACATCTTTTTTGTTTCTTCTCTTTAAAATCCAGCAGCATAATGTTGAAATGGGTATCTCTACATTTTAAATAAAAGTTATATATGAATCGGTGCTGATTTTATATATGTGCTTTTGGTTTTTCTTATTTTCAACCTTCAGTCACAAAGTTTGAGAAATGGTTTAGTAAAACAAAAAAAAGGAAAAAAAATGAAAGCATGTGAAGCCATGCGTCAAGGAAGATTTTTAAATTTGTATTTTTATGTTTTTTCTTTTTTTTGTCTTGATAATGTCTTCGGAGGTTTCTACCTTTTTTCCTACATGTAAATTAGTTTGGATAAAACTAATGATAAGACTTGTGAAATTCAGCGTTAAGGTTTTTCTCAACATTAAACGGTCCTGTCACAAAACACTTAAATGATTTCAAAGTCAAAAGGTAGTCATTAAGACAATACTGAAGAGGAGAGTTATTCAGCAGCGCTGTGGCAGCTAGACAAAGCTTAGATTTTGACATATATTTGTCACACAAGTTTTAATGAAATGTTTTGTCTACTGAGGTTTTTATTTTGTAGTCATTCCATGCTTAAGCCTTAAACATGCTTGTGAAGGTCACCTTCTCTCACAGTAATCTTCCATGTCAGAGGATCGGTCGTGTTTAAAGGTGGATAATTGGCTTCTTAGGACATGAAACATGAGGCGGTCAGGTGTAATGTGATAAAGTAGATGAACAGCCTATTATGTGTTTTGCCTAATTATTTTATGTAAGTAAAAAAGAAAATTCTTTTAAGGAAAAAGTACTGTTTATTGTTTGTTACTTACCACTACATTGGTATAAATCTTATTAGATCATGTGTATATATACAAAATTTAATTTTTTTCCCCTTCCTTTTTGGCCATTTCTGTGTTTGTTTTTTCCCCCTTTTTTCTGCACTCTTGCCTACACTCTAAGTTGTTGTCTATTATCCCATCCTCTTTCAGTCACTCTGTTTCTGATTTGTACTTGTCTGGAGACAGTAACTTTTGAATAAAAATCAACACATTTCATCTGTGGTACTTTTGACTTTTGGCCACATTGAACACTTATTCTGGGAGTAATCCAGGTTCCACATGTGTCGTTATTTTTTGCATATGTATTTCGGGTGGCATTTCACTTTTCACCACAAGGGGGCAGTATAGACCTAGGCCTACATCTGAACTGTGTCAGTGCTATAAGTGTACATGGTGTCACTTTGTGTAATGCATGTATTTTTTTCTCTTTTCAGAAAAGGTTATGAATAATACATCTCAGTGCATATGACAGCCTTTTACATTTGTGTCGACTATCAAAGGAGGCCCATTGCAGCGAGGGTAATGTCTTGTTCTGCAGAAACAGTTGCTGTAATGATAAAAGTGAGGACACAAGGTAGCAGGAGAAAGGATGAAAGCAACCGAGACTTCTGTGTTAAGTGCATGATTAATAAAGAGGCTCAGATCAATGCGGGCCGATTACAGCGAGACCCATTCAACTCCATGTGTGTGATACGTGAAGAGGTCCATCTATCACTGCGTCAGTCTGCCCGTCACATGTCCAATATTATAATAATATAAGGAAGGCTCTTACCTCTGCAATTGTCTCGTGAGCTGTCAGATTTTTTTGTAACATGGCTGTTAGAGGTGTTTGTAAAGAAAGACACCAAATAGACATTTTTTATTTAGTGTAAAGCAGTTGTCATATTGTCAAACCTGTTTTATGAGGACCTTCTTTATGTCCAAATCTCACGCTTCTTTACTTGTATGTCTACTTTTCTCTCTAAAGTATGATTTGCTCTCACTTTGGAATGCACCATATTTGATTTTTGACTACATGCTGACATTTTTCAACACATTTTTGGCCAATATTGATACATGCATATGTTCTTCCACCTAACACCATTTATAAAGCGATATACGCTCAAAAAATGGCGTACGCCAGTTTCTACGCAATGTTTGCGATTTATAAAATACTAACTTGACGGGAAAACGTGCGGTCCTCCACGCAAACTCTAACCCATGCGTACGCACTAAACACAAAAACGGGAGAGACGAGAAACTGCGACACCGTTGGCAGAAGGAAGAATGGAGAGAAATATGTGGAAATAATACCATAAACAAAATGTTACCTCTCATTTATCATATATGAAGAATTCATTTTCAAACATTGATTAAAGCCAATCTTAAAATGATTAAACAAACGCCTGTTTGAGACTCCTCAGTGCACACAAAACATAACTTGGAGAAATAAATAAATACGGATATGTTATTTAAAACCACCTCGAATATGTTGTGTTAATGTTATTAAATGTTTTCTCATAAATGATGCGGTAAGCAGGAGGACAGCATTACTTTAAACTGACGCCGTGTTGCATTTCTATAGGTTGTAGATACGAGCATGGTTTTATATAGGCTACTATCACGTTTAATCATGTGTTATGCTGTTTGCTAAGACTTGATAAATCGCTCATAAAACACAGGAGGTATGGAAGCTACCATATGTGGTAAATTGTACAGCTGATATAACACAACACATTAGTTGTATTTCCTTTAACTGGTGGATATAGGGTTGCTGCGGGGGGGTTGAGACGCACAGGCTGCAGTGGAGAGGCTGCGCACAGCTGATCGACAGCTGGGACACAAACCACCAAATACAAAAACATAATTCAGATCCAGTCGTCATGACTCCACACCGGGGGGATTCCCCGTTCACTTCTTACAGTCTCTCATCAAGGGGGTGTCTCCTGTCCCCGGTACAAACACACTGCCTGAGGAAGGCTATGTGTATTGTTTTTGTCATTAACCTTTTTCGGGCCATTTATTTATTTATTTTGGTGACGATCCGACCTCCATGCTGCTACTCTGGTTCAAACTGCATCCACCAAACAATATGATTTATCTCCACCTCCCCAAAATAACCACAATCTGACACGGTGTGAGATGTCTTTTTCAGCTGTTCTGTCGTCATTTCCTGCGATCTTCTTCATAAAGTCAGTCAAAATGAATGAATGAATGAATGGGCGTTTCTTTGACTATTTATAGGCAAATATGGGCGTTACGTGAAGCCCGCAAAAGCTGCACCACATATCGAGTCGGTTGTGATTTATAAAGGGAAACCGGCGTAGGAAGCGCTGTACGCACTTTCCTCGCCGGTACGCAATGTTTGGTGAATCGGGAAGTGGCGGAAAATGTATGGACCTATTTTTCGGATTTCTACTACGTAAGCAACCTTCCCACGTGAATCCTACGCACGGCGTTATAGCCTACATGAGGCCCCTGGCCCCTCTTTTAGTGGAATTAACATCATTATGCTGACACCAAATGAGAACATGTGCTTTACAGATTGTGGCTTAAACTCAATGTAAAGTGAATGAATTGGAGCCCATTATTTGGCTTTGTAGAAAAAAGTTAAAAATAGGCAAAATCTGCCTGCACTTCATTTGAACTACTCGCAACCCTTTAATGCATTTTGCCAAAGTGCTAAAAAAATAAGCAGCTTCAGTTCTTATGTGGCTCTCTTTTTTAATTCCGAAAAGCAAGGCTGAGAAAGCCTGCACCCTTTAAGTCAGAATATTTTCTGGACGAAAATGAACCACTGCATAGATGTTTTCTTACTTGTTTACCTGCTTAGGCTCGTTTCACATGCGCATAATTGAATCAGTCGTCCGTGTTAGCAGAAATGTTTATTTTGGTCTGATCTAAATTTAATTTGAAGCCTCTTTCGACCGATGACATGCCGATATCTTTGTGCATCCCTTGTTCCGACAGCAGTGTATCTTCTAGCTCTGAGTTAGGTGAACTTGTGTTTCTGGTGTCAGGGCTGCTCAGTTTAAATCAGAACCACAGGGCTCCTGGCTTATATTTACTCCTGATAACCCAAGGGCCTCCACAGGCCCTATCAGTTGAGCTGCTGTTGAGACCTCAAAGA